CAAAGTAGGGGAGGAATGAGCTGCTGGCATTCCTGACCTCATCACAAATTTAATTAGCTAAACCTAATCCACCAATTGTGTTCCACTTAAAGAAAGACTTAAAATAATGTGAATGCTTAGCTTCAAACTGCACGCAGGCTTCATAAATTCTATGGAAAGTTTATTTAAGATGCTGATTCCAGGGCCTCTCTCTGAGACTGATTCTGGAAAGCCTGGGATAACACCTGGAAATCTGAATATTTAAGTTTTCTGGTGTGTTTGGATATGGGCAGTTTTCAGTAGCCTAGACAATTAAAAAACAAACAAACAAAAATACCGCTGAGAAAGCTACAGGAGTCTTCTAAATGCTGCCTAGGGGATGGTCCTGCTTTGTGCAGGATGCATTCCTGTGGTGAATTATGGCAACCTCCTGTCCATAATTTGGCTTCCCTTGCATCTTGCCCACAGGATGATAACTCACAACCTGCTGACATAAGTACTCTGCTATGGACAGCTGTCTTTTTCATTATAAAATCTATCATTGGCATTCTGGTTATATTTTCATTTCTATGGCTTTGGAGAGCTTCTCTCATGGTACAAAGCAGAGCTGATCAATCTCACACGCTGACACGTCGAGAAGAATGTTCAGAACAGTAACTTCCTGCTCAAACCATCTGCTCTAATCCCAACAGCATCTACCCTACTCAGAGCTCCACCCCCGCCTGGCCTTTGTTCCTAACTCCCAGGGCCACCCACACAGCTACCCCTTTCCCAGGGTCCTGGGGAGCCACTCCCCTTTATCAAAACCTCCTTGTTCCCTACCACCTCTGTCTTTTAAAGGGCTCAAACCCTAGCTCTCTGATCTCAGCCCTTCCCCTCCTCTATGATTGGTCTGTGTTGTCAATCACTCCATCTGCTTTTTTTTTTTTTTCCTTTTTTTCCTTCCCTGGGATAGAACTACAGAGTTTCCAGTCCCTGCTCCAGGAGGAGGGTCTAACAAAAGACCCCTTTCTTTTAACTTTGCTTAGTGCATGCCTGACCTCAGAGGGGATTTGGGAATGTGCCATGCCCCAGGGAAAGAAGAAAGGGGAGAGAAAAATTCTGGTTAACACCAGACCCTTCCCTGTGTTTAATGCACTAGGGTGAATGTCACCCTGTGCAGTGTCTTGGAAGTCAGCTGGTTTTCCTGCGCAATAATGCCCTTGTGAATTGCCTTAACCACAGGCCTCAGAATTCACACTGTGTCCCCATTCAAGGAAAAGAACAGAAGGAAAAGCAAACTAGATTAGGCCAATCTTCCTTCCTGAGTAAGAGTGGGCTCTTTACAGCAGCTATGACTGACAGGTTGCCCTTCAAGCTATTTACCTCAACAGATTAAGGAAGTAATCTTCTATTTAAGCCTCTCCTTATTCCCACTGTTATTATGTTCTGCCAATTTCTGTTGCTACCATCATCATTCTACCCCTCATTATCTCTCACACCCTAGCTGCTGAGAGGGTCCAATTTCTGGGTTGAGTCTTCCTCACTCCTATTAGGCCACCTTCATGAATCATTTTCATTATCTAACTTGCTGGCTCAGAGTCCTACTAGGACATCTGGAACCAGATTCCCCTTTTCAGATCTCAGTGCATCTCAGTAACCTAACTTCTCCTTAACTGACTTTACTTTGGACTGTCCTCTGCATATGGACCCTTCTTGGTACAGTGTCCCAAGACTTCACACATACCTGCCTTCAGAGCCGTCACCTGTACTCTCTTCTAAATTATCTACCTTTTTAAAAAGTGTCATCCTCAAACCTTGCTCTGTTTAAGTGAACAGCTGACATAGAGGGAGCACTGGGCACACATCATAGGCCCCTAGGTTCCAGCTCTGAGATCTCAACTCTTGGGCCATGAGACCTCACACAAGGAACTAAAGTCCTCTGAACTTCAGCATTATCAGACAATGATCATACTTCACAGGGTTTTGTATTCAGCCAGTTTGTTAACCTCCTAAACTTGATGAAGAAAATATAGGAAATAGTTTTACTTTCCTCCAGCCTCTACCTTCCTCCTTGTTATATCAATTACCTACCAACGATCCTCTCAATTAGTCTGGCAGGGGTGTTTTCAATAACTCTAATTAAAAATATAGGATTTCTTAGTCCATTGCTCTCAGATTTGAAGGGCTTACCAACTCCAAGATCTCTAGAAAAGTCCCTTTCAATATCTCATTCCCTGTACAACAAAGCAAATAGTGTCAAATTCTCTACCTAGAGGCTGGCATGTTGCAGATATTCACTAAGTAATTGTTATGTGGCTATTCTCAGAGAATGGCAAAAATAGTACATTCAATCATCCTCAGTATCCATGGGAAATTGGTTCCAAGACTTCCTGCCCTCATATAACAAGGTCTACAGATGCTCATGTCCCTTATATAAAATCAACCAGTATCTGCATATAACTTACATGTATCCTCTTGTATATTTTAAATCTTCTCTAGATTACTTATAATACCTATACAATATAAATGAAAATAGTTGTTATACTATATTATTTAGGGAGTGGGGACGAGAAAAATATCTGTACATGTTCATTATTGATAGATTTTTTTCAAAATATTTTTGGTCCAAGGTCAATTGACTGTGGATACAGAAGCTGCAGAGACATAGGGATGACTATGCATATAAGGTAATCTAAAGCTAGTTCTCCTCTTAACTTGTATAGTATTTTTTATCTATATCCTATAATACAAATCCATTATATATTATCTTATGCATATGCATCTGCATATATAGTCATATGCATATGCATTGGATTTGTAGTTAGAATATAAACTTTTTGAGTGCAAATATTATTTTTTCTCCATTCCCTATAATATCAAAACTGGATCTGCCATAATTCCCTAAGTAAATATGTTTCCTGTATTTAATATTTAATGATACTCAAGTTAGAATTTTGTTACACTTTTCTATGATAATTTTCCTACTGTTTTGTGAGTACATTTTGCTATACCAGGAAAGCTAAAAATTCGCTGAGTATAGCTGTCAAAGAATATGGTGCTTTGCTCTCTCCAAGTCAGTCTAGTCCAATAGCACAGGTGAATAGATGGCAACGGTGGCATAGAGGTTGCAGGTGAAGGGTAGGGTTCCTATGAGTACATTGGATTTATTGAAGAATGAGGTCAGAAGAGACTTTCTGAAAAAAAAATAGTGTTGAATCCTAGAGATTCCAACAGGGAAATCCGACTGGTTGAGGTTGAAAAGAGTAAGCACAAGACAGTAAACTCAGTTCAACCATAAAGGGAAGGAGAAAAGGGAGAAAATAGCTAGAAAGTAAAACTAGTCAATGAAAAATAGAGGATATTAGAGCACGCTTATAAGTTAAAGTAAAAGCATTGCTATGGTACATCCGAGGGCTGAAAAGAGCAACCAGCATTGAGAGCCTACGGAGGGATTAGCCTAGACAGAAGTGTGGATGAGATTGCCCCTCAGTGGACATTTGGCAATGACTGGAGACACTATTGGTTTGTTGGTTGATTAGTTGGTTTTAAATGTTTTAGTCTTTTATTAGAAACTATGCAAAATTAAATCCAAAAAAGTATAAGCACTGTAGGAATCTGTGTGTCAGTATAATTTCTGAGATTTCACATCATTGCAGCTATCCAGAGCCAGGCCTACACCCCTCTTCAGGCTGGTCACACCCCTCCTCAGGATGGCCTCACCTCTCCCCTTGTTCCTTTCCAATTATATGGGAAGCAGGATGACCTCAGTATTATATCTTTATTTTTTAGTTTTCTTACCTGATTCCCCAGTATCCACATGCATTTTGGACATCGTAAGCTTTCCCATAAAATGAGGTCTCTCCAGGCAACTGGAGAGTTTCTCCAACTCTGGCCTTCTATGTCTCACCAGATCTCAGGGAATGAGACAGGCAGAAATGCCAAAACGAGTCTCCAGGTTAAGAAAGAAAAGTAGCATATGTACAAAATGCCCAACCAACCAGTCCACTCCCTTACCAACCCCCAGTGGGCCCTATCTGTTCACCAGGCCGTAGTCCCTACCTCTCACTTCCCTGACCACAGCACTTCCAGGCCCCCTTGCTACTTGGGGCAGAACAGCTCCAGATGCTTGACATCCTACTAAGTTGGGGCTTAAGTATCCTGGAGATATTTTTGATTGTTACAATTGGAAGTGGTAGACACTGATATTTAGTGGGTAGAGGCCAGGGATGCTAATAAACATCCTATAATGCACACACCACCTCTTTCCCAATAAACAATTACTTGCTCAATATATTAATAGTGCTAAGATTTCTCAACCTTGGCATAGAGTGGCCAACCAGAAAGTTAGCATGAAACAGACACCCACTTGAACTGGCACAAGTAAAAAATGGGGATTATTGACAGTATTGGGGGGCATTTCCCAGAAACTGAGAATGAAAGCACAGCTTCATGGGAACCAGTCAGTGATCTGGAAGCCACTCCCTTCATCTTGCTCACTCTGGGGTTACTAACATCCCACACCTGCTCCCTGCTTCATCCTCCTTCTACTCTTTGCTTTCCCAATGCATGGCCCAGACTGTTACCCCACATCTGACTCCACAGCAGTTTTAGGGTCAAACCTGTGTAAAGACATTAATTTCCATCTTTTGCTTATTTTACTTTTCAAATGGAAAACCAGATTGTCCATTGGATGGTCTGACTTTGACTCAGATTGTAATAAACTGTGACCAGAGGACAAGATACAGTTAACTGTCTACTCAGCACTGTAAGGAGTAGTTCTTCCTCAGAGTTGTAAAGAAAAAGAAGATTTAAAGCAAAGACAAGAGAAGCTAAGAGGTTCAAATAATGTGGCCTAAGATCTTGATTAAAATCAATGGCCAGGTCCCTTATAAGAGAAGAGCCTCAGAAGAGTGTGGGAAACAGCAGAAATAAGGGAGCTGGAACAGAGCAGTGGTGGGGAATTTAATAAGGGATAGACTAGGAGGCAAAGAATTGCCAATGGCTTTAAGGACCTCCACCATAACTAGAAAGGCACCTACCTCAACCAAATGAGGAAAAGAGGAGCTGCTTCCCTGCGTCTGTGATCCAGAGAACCCCAGGTTGCAAACACTGGGGAGTCATTGTTTGGTCCTGTAGAAATATTTTGAAAGTCTGGTGACTGAGTGTATGTATGTGTAGATTAACTTGCAGCCTGTCAATGCACAGAACTATTAAATTGAGCTCCTAGGTTGTTCTGGTCTCTGAAATACAAAGAAATAAAGCAGTCAATTCAAATCTACTATTTACCTGCTACCACAGACAATAGCGCCCACCTGGGAAGATATTGTGCCTAGGAAAATACATCTTGCATTCCTTTCTCAATACTTGTAAGACAGGAGGAGAAATTAAGAGAAGGAGAATTAGGAATACAAGCAAATATGAGTAATTATATGTGCTAATGTATAGTTACTTATTCTTTAGAGGTGTTTCATTTTTGTTCTCGTATGTATGTTCTGAAACCATGCAGGACAATTGGTATATCTCCTGAATCTCTATTTTACTTGCCCAATTGATTTATTAGAATTTTTTAAACTCCATTGATTTTTTAAACTATTATTTTTGTAGTACTGGGGATTGAATTCAAGGATCCTTTGCCACCGAACTATATATCCCCAGTCCTTTTTTAAATAAAAATATTTTTTGAGTTTTACATGGGCACAATATCTTTGTTTCTTTTTTTTTTTTTTTTCATGTAGTGCTGAGGACTGAACCCCGGTCTCACACATGCGAGGCAAGCGCTCTACCACTGAGCCACAACCCCAGCCCTATCCCTAGTTCCTTTGATTCCATTTTGAGACAAGGTTTAAATCACTCAGGCTAACTTTAAATTTGTTATCCTCCTGTCTCAGCCTCCCAAGTCACTGGGATTACAGACATGCACCATCATGCCTGGTGCCCCGTTGATTTTGATATTCCATGAGGAAAACCTCAGAAAGGAGAGGGAGTGGAGAACAGGGAAAAGGGTTACACTTGTAACAGCAATTTTGCCATAATACTTTTTAAGCCCAAACTCCATGCCCTCTTTTTTATGGGTTAGAACTGTTTTTTCCTCCAATGCCAAAGTAAATTTGTTCCTTGGCATTTAAAAGAAACACCCAAGTAACATAATCTCAATGTGTTAAATCAATTTCAATTTCTGGGAAGTGAAAGAATGAGAGAGAGAGAGAGAGAGAGA